TGTTCTGCTTTACACGATGACAATAGATAATATATTATAATAAATTTAAGATATAAAACTAATGAGAGAGAAAGAAAAAGCAAGTGAGAGAGAATGAGAAAGAGAATAATTGGAAAAATATTTTTACCTTTAATTTATTTGATCATTTATTATGAAACTAAAATTTTATAAATGCATGTACATAAATGTGCATGTTTATTTATATCTTTCTGGTATCGTGTACACACAAAAAAGTATATACTATTCTATTATACATAAAATTGTACAGTATTATATAGATACGATGTAAGTATAAAAACAAAAAAAAAAGAGAGAGAGAGAGAGGGAGAGTATTTCATATTAATATAATATTAATAAAAAGAAAAAAAGAAGTAGCACAAACGTGAGTAAAATATTACAATATGATAAGAGTACGACAGAATGGACTCATACAAATTTATGTATAATTGTCAGGAACTGTACTAGGGACAATTATATATACACAACAAACGTATACACTCAAGTTTACTACAAATTTTATGGTACTGAATAAATACTGTTATGTATTTTAATAAAAGTTGCTATTCTATTCAAATGATTGTGTTCATGTTAGTTTGCAACCTTTTATCTTGTTGTTAGTTTCCTGTACTGTTCCTGATTAGTTATGTGTGTACACACCAGTGTACAATTACGCGCAAGCGCGTATATATAATGTGTGCGCATAAGATTGTACAAATGGGCATATATCATAAAAACTTTATTTAAAGTATTCGAAATGATTACTTCCAAGTAACTCATAAGATTCTATGAATTCTTTTTAGTTGTAAACATTAAACGATTGCACATGAGTATCATTGATTATTATATATAACTATTTTGAGCCTAATTTTATAAACTTTGTCTTATTAGAAAAACTTTTTGTTTTATAAAATAAAAAGTAAATCTATGAAATAGTCACACATATCACGAGCTTCATATAATCAAAATATATATAATTATGTTCTTTAAAAGAATTATATATATATTTTTTAAATATCATTACTATATTACATTGTGTATTTTACAGGTGTAACTGAAGAAACATCAACAGGCCTTGATGCTATGAATCCTAATACGAAAGAAGAATTTGACCAATTTGCTGTAGCACTTTCACAAAAAATCAACGAATTTAAAAAACATTCTGAATTCCCACCATTCGCAGAGGAACTTATAAAATCCATTGCCTTAAACTGTTAGTATATTAATACTATTAAATATATATATTACCTTAAACACTATATTTAATATTATAATTTTTTTCTAGTATCATCACATGCTTTGAAGAAGGTGAAAACTCTGGTGGATAATTTATTAATAGAGAAACAAAAAATGGAAAAAGGAGAAAAAGCAAAGAAACCAAAAGGAAAGGGCAAAGCAAAACTTAAAATTGAAGGAGAAAATACCATGTTAAGCGAGTATGGCGACTATGTTTATGATGATTATGATGACTTTATGTAGCGACTTTTCATATTAAGAAGTATTCTAGTCGCCTAAATACATATTGGAAGATATTAACTTGCAGATTTATACAAAAAATTTATAATTATACCTTTTGCATATAACAATTATATGCAAAATGTATATGCAGATTAATCTGCATTCTTAACATTATCTGCATACGACTTAACAGAAATCAGGAGAGAGTGTTAGAGTTACATTGCTATATCTTTAATCTGTTGAAATAAATTTTTTTGTATAATTACATTTACTTGCATCATTAAGTTAATATCAAATATTTCTTGTATTCTTATACATAAAAGGAATTTGTCTGCATATTTATATGATTAACAAATATCAATATAGTTGTGTTATAAGCACTTAACAGAAAAATAATAATCCTAATTTTTTATTACTCCAAGTGCAACGAAGTATTTTTAATTTAATATCAAACTGCTTTTTAATTACATCATTACTTATTATTAAGTATCGATAGGTAAAAATAAATATGTTTTATATCATGGCCTTTTACTTTTAATTTAAAATTCAACGAATAAATATTTCAATTTACCTTTAATTATACTTATTGAATTTAAAATGATTACTAGATGTAATTCAAACGTAATATGATAACAAGTACAATATTTTATATATATGTCTTTTTAATCTAATATATATTATATTTGTTATTATATAAATATTGTTGTATGGATATCCCATACTAATTATGCAGGCAATTCCTTAATTGGATATAATATAATTACAAAAATATATAGTTCTCGGATTTTATTATTAGATAATTGTTCTATTGTATCCATGAGTATAATATTGGAAGAACTTTTATTTTTTTTTAATACATCTTTAACTGTTTAAAATGTCTTCAATATGCTTAAATAGCTGCAGTGCACAGCTATTATGTAACTGTATTATGGAAATTTTATATAACATGTCTTACACATCTATACATACATACATACATACATAAGCATATATGCATACTCAATTAATTAAAAGTTGGTTTTGAAAAAGAGTATATTCCTAAATAAAGGTTGACTGTAAATAATTTTTGTTGCTATTTTAATTTTCTACATAGATATACAATTTATTTTAGGTATTACAAATATATCTTAGGTATAATAAATTTATGAAATAGGATAAATTTTATAATAAATCAATAAATGCATAAAGAATACAGTTTTTCTACGACAACATATATGAATTCAATCTAAATAATATATTAAGAGAAAAAATGTTATGGTACTAAAAATTAAACAAAACGAACAAATTTTAATTATTAAATTTTATAACTTGTATTTATTTTTCATTTATTTCATGAAACGTGAAAACGAGTTCCTTCAGTTTTTAAAAAGCAAACATTAGTGGAAAGGTTGGACTAAGGGCCAGGATAAAGAACTAGTTTTCTCGACCACACATCTCTGATGGATTTAATAATCTTGATTAAGAACTTTCTGGAGACATATACGTGTCTGATCACAATAATTTTGATTTCGGTTCCATGAGAAAGGACATGAAAAAGTGATCCAAACCGTTCAAGGATCCAACTTGTTCCAAAAAACATATATATGTATTTCTAGTTTTTGTGTTATATTCATGCTACAAAGTTATTTAAAAAATTGTAATTTTTTGTTTCAAAACTATCGTTTAACTATAACATTTATTCAATTGTATAATAATTTTAAAATAACGAAATGTTTATTTTTTGTGATATTTATCTATAAGTGTTAAGTCAAAGTTTCGGTAAACCAAACAATACAAAAGTACATAGAAGTTCACAAGTCCCCTTTTTTATCTACCTAGTTTCATTTTAGTTACTAGATACTCAACGCGATCAAATTTGATAGTATTGTATTGTCATTATGTTAAGTACCTACTATCGCCCACTAATGGTTCCAGTAGTAACTAAAATGAAACTAAGTAGATAAAAAAGAGGACTTGTGAGTTTCTATGTACTTCTGAACAAGATAAAAACTAGAGAATAACTTTTTAAGAATTAATATAAAACTTTCCATTATCTTGATATATCTTTTATTATTAACAATTGAATGAATCACTTTTACGGAATATAACAATGACTAAACATAGATATGAGTTATATATTACAAATGTACATTAATGTAAAAGCGTGTAATCCAACATTTTACTACAATGATACAAACATTTATATTTTTTGACATTGAAACAACTGGTTTTATTCAGAGGAATGAATTTCCTAAAATAACAGAATTTTCATTTGTAGCTGTAACCCGAGATAACATATGTCTCGTTAAAAATGAAGTTCCAAGAGTTTTACAAACTCTTACCGTACCAATTAATCCTAATCGATTTATACCTCATAAAATAGAAATTTTAACAGGTAAGTTCTATTAAAATCTTATTTAAAAATATAATGATCATAATATATATAAAAATATAACGAACTTTATACTTTTGAATAGATTTAAATAACAAGTGTCTACAAAATGTATCCTTATTCGATCACAATATTTATAATTTGATTACTAGTTTTCTCGATACATTAATGAAACCAATATGTTTTGTGGCACATAATGGAAAGGAATTTGATTATCCAATTTTGTTGTCCGAATTAGAGTACATTGATAAGGTATATTTTTGTCTTTATCTTTCTACATTAGAAAAATAGTTGTATTTATAATTTTATGCATGGTATTCTGTAACTGGTAGTACAAGCGAACAGAAAATGATTCTACATGAAAAACTAAGTCGAAAATGTGGATTAAAATTCTTCCATTTAAGGTAATGTTTTAAAAAAGATTATGTTGGAAAATTTGTTGAGTATGCGTGCACTTAAGATAAGCTTGCAACCTTGTAAATTAAAAGTTTTATTCGATAAACATAAGAGTAGAACCTATACAAGAAAAAACACAAAAGTGCTCTTCGAAATATTCAAGAGTAAAATAGTAAAATTTATCGAACTGAAACTAAATCAAGTATTATGTGTACTTACAAAATTTGCAAACTTTTTTTCTTTAAAATAAAGTCTTATATGGAAAAATGTTCTACATTTTCAACTCATTGTTAGTTTATTGGTGTAAGATAACTTCTGCTCGCTTGTACCACTAGTTACAAAATACCCTATATATTTAGATATATATATTTATATTTTAAGAGGGATATTGAAATAGATTTTTTTTCATTTAAGTATTTAGCAGAAGACATTCTATGTGCAGATACATTACATTTATTCAAAGATTACTTTACGAAATGTAGTCATAACCAAGAAGAAGTCGATATTTCAATGGTGGAAAAACATATGGAAAATATCAATATAAATCAAAAACCACCTAATTTTAAATTGATAACAATATATGAACACTTGTTAAAAGTTCCAGTAACCAAAAATCATGATTCACACAGTGATTGTATTAATATGTTAAAATGTGTTTCTTGTATAAAAGAATATTTTGTAGAATGGTGTGATAGTAATGCGGAACCATTATTTAAAATGAAAAAAAATTAAAATAGCAAAAAATATTTTAAGGAATAATAATTTTAAAGTGTAATTATTGA